TAATTATTAATATTTGTTTTCTTCCATAGGGTAATAGTTTTGGATAATGGTTTCATGGTTGAATACGATTCGCCTGCTAATTTACTGCAAGAAAAATCATCAGTTTTCTACTTAATGGCAAAGGATGCAGGTCTAGTTCAATAATAGTGTTCAGCTCATATTATGAAACTCACGTGCCGTGTCAACCTGAATAAATTTGTTCATTTAGCGGTTAAATAATCATAATTTTGTTTTTATTATTTTTTGTCACAGATTGATAATCAAACTATTACATAGTATACTTATAACAGTAAGATGATGTTTTATTAATGAATTTTTTTATTTTAAATTTTGTTTTTAATATTAAGCCGTCCGTGTTATATCAAATACTTGCCATTTGATTAGGGTTTTCAATGTTAATTTTTATATCTATGTAAACAAGTGGCATACATATGTGTTACTGTTATAAATTGTTCAATGTATATTTTATTCAAAATAACAGTGATTTTTTTTCTACAAACAAACAAATTATTAAATTAAATATATGTAAATGTATATTTTTATGTACAGTGTCCACTATTTTTATTTGTGTTCAAAAGTTTTCAGTGTTATTACTTTATTAGATATATAGGTTACTGTAAACATAATGTCTTAAATTAATTGTTACCAACAATCAACAAAATTGTTTGAACTATGAAGGCGTTTTGGGCAGTTAATACTGAAAAATTGATTATTTAAACAACTATACACTATGTGTTATGAATAAGGATAAAGTTTACCGGTAAGACAAATTAATATTTTATGTTTGAAGTTCTAGTTATAATTAAATTCATTAAAATCTTGAAAATGCCCAAATTTTTTTTTGGTTAAAATGTATAAAATGTTCAATTTTATAAATAAGAATTGAAAATGTACAACAAAGTTTCTTATAAGTAGTTCAATCATATTTTACCCAAAAAATCTAAAACAAAGTACTTCCACAGTTTATTGTAGATATTTTAAGTTCAAATTAGAATCAATTTTGTTATTTAAACAATTTATATGAACATATATGTATTTTAATAACAATTTTAGTTATTTTGTTGTAATTTACAAATATTATTTGTTGATACTTGAAATCAAGGTTGATATATATACATTTTACGCCTTGCTTGAAACTATTAAAGTATATTATCAATTATCATATTTTATACATACCTAACCTAATAATGGAGATTCTAATGTATTTGTTGGAAAAAATAATTCAATCTATTGTATTACTATTATCTAATAGTAAAATAGATAACTTTATCAGCAATAACATCATAATCTTATAAGTTATAACCTATCTACTGATAAAATGTCTTATTTTTCTTTTATCAATACCCATGGGCCACAACCCACCCGCCCATATTTAAGGTATCGCCTTGAATGAGAATATGATTTTTTTCATTTTTCTAACCGAAAATTTAAAAATCATCAATTCTTAAATTGTCTTTGGTCAATTCAATAACTATGTGCCTGACTACAACATTTTTCTCATTTTCGTACATTTGACCCACAGAAACCATTTATATTTCAATACATTTTGTGATTTTTGTTTATTTGTTAGTGGTTGTTGTAGTTAACATGAATAAACTGGTATTCATTTATTATTTTTCTGTATACACTTCAGTTCAGAATCGTGTGTAATTCTACTTATGTTCAGTAATAATTTTATTGGTTATAATTTAGAACAAACATCTTCGTAGCCTAGATATAAGTCTATGATAACATACCTATTTGATTATTTAGAACAGTTTTACAATATTCATTGTAAAATACTAGGTAACTGTTACTTTTTCAGTAGGTACCTACCTAACAGACAATAATATCAACAGTTTATAACAGCTATACATTTTGATATCAAGTTAGCATCATTTTGTGGATGAAAATAATACATACATCAGATTAACAGTCATCTCAACACAACTATCGATGTCACTCTTCAATAAAAAACATTATGTTTCTAACAATATACAGAACGAAATCATATATTTTAGTATGGGTTGAATCATAATGATATGTATGTATGTATGATATAACTTATTAAATTATTATTAAATTACCTACTTCAATATTTACTTTGCGCAGCTAATTATTAAATGTTGTTATTTTTCACTCAAAATAACTATGAGATTAAACCTGAAAGATTTCCGTTGGAAAACCCTTGGTTTCCAAGTTTTGAGAAATAAATGTTTTAAACAGTTTGCATTCACATTTATGATTTACAAGAATTTCAGACAGTGGCGGATCCAAGGGAGGGGTAAAAGGGTAAATACCTTCCCCCCTGAGCTTATTATATTTAAATTTTATAAATTTATTTTTAAAAAAAAATGTCGGTTGAATTTTTTCGTTTATTTTATAAAAATGTTGTCATTGATACCAGTTTTTAAGAATAAATTCTAAATGTTGAATATTTATAAGGAAATAATAAGTAATTAATGTTTATATTAATAAGTATGTTATTAAGTAGGTATGAATAGTATCTGATGGATATATTTTTATTAATAATTAATTTGGAATTGTCGTTGAAAGAAGTCTCTGCACTGAACTAGGTACCCATCTGTAGATAGGTTAGGTTACATATATTATTATGTTAGTAGCCAGTAAGTAGTATAGTGTATACTGTATGTCTGTATATATAATAATAAATTGATTGTACTTTCGCATTCTGAACGAGGAGATGAATGGTGAGTGTATGGTAAAATAATAATTTTTTTAAAACATGTTTAATATCTATAGTAGGGATGATAAATTCAGTCATAGGATAACCATTTATTATAATGACAAAAAATGTTAACGTTAACATTAAGGTCTACTATCGAATCCGTCGCACTTACTATAGTTACTACGTTTAAGGACTGTTCATTAAATCGATCAATAAAAATCCATCATATAATTTAAGATCAATATTTCTACAGAGTATTTTTAATTCTTCTACGGCCATATTTTTGCCAATGAAAACTTCCCATAGTTGTTAACATTATGGTTTTTTATTAATTAAAACAAAGATAAAATGGTTTTAATTATTTCTTATTGCTTTTAAATTTAAAACTAATTATATGATATTGTTAATGTTAGTAAAATGTTAAACATATTACAGCTGATCGGCACATAGACAAAGAAAGTCAAATTTTAGGGAGGGGGGGATTTATTTTTTTATCTTTAATAAAGATTACATTTAAATAGATTGAGAAATTCACATTAACACTATAAATAAACATGATGTTTCAAATTTTAAATATTATGATATTTGTATTATTTCATAAATACTTTACCTTTCAACCTTTGTGCGATAAAAAAGTACAATATTCAAATTGATAGGGAGAC